GCACACCAGCTCGTGTGTGTGTGTGTCTGAGATACATGCACACCAGCTCGTGTGTGTGTGTGTCTGAGATACATGCACACCAGCTCGTGTGTGTGTGTGTCTGAGATACATGCACACCAGCTTGTGTGTGTGTGTGTGTGTGATACATGCACGCCGGCCTTGTGTGTGTGTGTGTGAGATACATGCATGCCCCACGTGTGTGTGTGTATAAGTGCACACCTGCCGTGCATGTGTGTGTGAGTAAATGTGAGAGTGTATAAGACATCAGAACTAGTTGGACGCAGATTTGGCAAAGGCACCTTTCCTGCCTGGATGCAGTTATTTGCCAGTGAGTTCTGCATTAAATGCTGGAGTTGCTGCTGCCATGCTGGGCTGAGTGAACCAGCAAATTTCTTGGTGGCCTGCCCCATGTGCCTGGCACAGGAGGGACTAGAAGTGTGCACAGTTATTTCTTCTATGACAACGTGAGCCCAAGACAGAGAGGCATGGAGGTTGATAAACACTGTTGTTAGTGGGTTTACATTTGGAAAAATCAACTCTGACCAAACCTTACTGCAAAAAAAGTGCCTAGTGAATCAAATGTCTAAATACGAAAAGAAAACACTAAAAAAGTGAGTAGAAAATATAAAACTTATGTGGAGGAATGGTAATTTTCTTAATTTCAAAATTATGAAAACTGCAAAAATGTCAACACTTTTGACTGGAGAAAAACTTAAAAAATGTTCAGTGATGAAAAAAATTCACAACTAAAGCCAAAATGAAAAGATGCTGATAGTAAAAGTCTGGTTATAGGTGCTACAGATGCCAGAGGCAGGGTGTGTGTGCCCATGACATCTGAGCAGAGGGAGAGAAGGGCCCAGCTGCTCCCAGCTACAGAAACACTGCCCGTGAGCAGGAAAGAGCGAGAACAGCGCCGAGTATGCCGCCTACCTTGAGTGACGATAAAAACAGTGTTGACAAAGTTGTGTTGGTAACTTTTCTGGGTATTCAAAAAATAGTTTTAAAATTTAGAGTCAGTAAAATTCAGTCTTTTTGGTGTCCAGTTCCAGGACTTTTGACGAAGGCAGAGTCGTGTGACCACCCCCACAACCAAGATGCAGACCCGCAGCCTCCACTCTGCTCTCCACCTGCGATTTGCCTTTGCCAGGAATTGTTCTGACGCAGCCTTTTGAGACTGGTCCTTTTATGTATGATAGAAAAACATCTGAGGGTCGCCATCCAATGCATGTCCACAGTTTACTTACTGAAGGGAAGGACATTTGGAGTGTTTTCAGGTTTTGGTGATTATGGACATAGCTGTTACAAACATTTGCATCCAAGTTTCTCTGTGAACGTAAGTTTTCACTTCTCTTGAAGCATGGGATTCCTGGGTCATATGGTGTGCTTTTAACTTTCCGAGACACTGCCAAGCTGTTTTCCACAGTGGCTGGTCAAGTTTTTCATTCCCACCTTAATGTATGAGGGTTCCAGTTGTTCTGTGTGCCTGTTACCACTTGATATTGTCAGGTGTTTTTTTTTTTTTTTTCTTTTTTTGCATTGTAATAGATGTGTCATTGTTTTAATTGGCATTTCCCCAAAGGGTAACAATGTTGGACATCTTTTCATGTGTTTATTTGCTGTTTATTTATGTCTTCTTCTGTTAAGTGTCTAAATTTTTTGCCCATTTTCCTTTTGGGTTTGTTTTCTTATTTAGTGTTAAGGGTTCTTTACGCAGTCTTTTGTCAGATGTGTAATATTCAAATGTTTTCTCTCTCTGTTTTCCCTTTTTATTCGCCTTGAGGGTGTCCCTTGTACAACGAAAGTTTTAGATTTTGATAAAGTGAATTTGGATTCATTTTCTTTCCTTCTCTTTCTTTTTCTTTTTTGAGATGGAGTCTCACGCGGTCACACAGGCTGGAGTGCAATGGTTCAATCTCTGCTGACTGCGACCTCTGCCTCCCGGGTTCAAGTGATTCTCTGGGGATTACAGGTGTGTGCCACCACACCCAGCTAATTTTGTATTTTTAGTACAGATGGATTTTTGCCATGTTGGCCAGGCTGGTCCTGAACTCCTGGCTTCAAGTGATCTGCCCGCCCCGGCCTCCCAAAGTGCTGGGATTACAAGTGTGAGCCACTGTGCCTGGCTGATTTTTTTGATTCATTTTCAACTGCTGCACAGCTTTTTATTCTTGAGATAAGTCCCACTTGGTCATAATGTGTCATTTATCTATTTTAATTTATCATAATGTATCATTTATTTATTTATCTGTATCCCAGACATTTTGATATGCTGTATTTTCATTTTTACTTCGTTCAAAAGGTTTTCTGATTTTCCCTGACACTTCACTTTTGACTCATGGATTATTTAGAGGTGAGTGTTTCAAATATTTGGGGGATTCATCAGACATCGTAGATTTATTGCAATATAAATTACATACCACAATTTGTCAGTTTTTTTGCTTATGGATTATGCTTTGGTGTCATACCTAACAAGTGTTTGCCTAATCCACGGTTACAGATATTTCTCTTGTATTTTATCCTAAAATTTCAATCTTTTTTTGTGTTAGCTTTTGTATAAAATGTGAATTATGAATCAAGTTTTATTTATTTGCATACAGACATACAGTTCTAGCACCATTTGTTGAAAAGACTGTCATTTTCCCACTGAACCAACTTTGCACCTTTAAAAAAATCAATATGCTACAGTTATATGGGTCTACTTCTGGACTCAATATGTCTCATTCACTTATGTGTTCATTCATTTACCAATACAGCAGGGCCTCAGTGCTGTAGCTTTATGGTAAATCTTGAAATCAGGCAGTGCAAGCCCTTTAGCTTTGCTGTCTTATTCAAATTTATTAGAATATCCTAGTTCCTTTGCCATTCCATAGAAATTTTAGAACCAGCTCACTGGTATCTATGAAAAACCCTGCTTGAATTTTGGGTGGGATTGTATTACATCTGCAGGTCAGTTTGGGGAGAACAGGCATCTTAACTGTCTGTGTCTTCCATATTGTCCAGTCGATGAAACTGCTGTGTTTATTTGGATATTTTTGATTTATTTTATCAGGGGTTTATAGATTTCCATATTCAGGTCTTGCACATTTGTTGTCAGATTTATCCCTCATAGCTCATTTTTAAGTGCTATTGTAAATGGCACTGGAAGCAATTTCGTTGCTAGGATATAGAAGTAAAATGGCTTCTTGTGTTTTGGTCTTGCATTCTGTGAGCTTGCTAAACTCTGTTATTAATTCCAGGAGTTTTTCTGTAGATTCCTTGAGATTTCCTACTTAATTATTTGGTCTGGGAATAAAATGTTTTATTCCTTACTTTCCAATCTGTAAGTTTTAATTTTTTTCTCCGTGTTTTGTACTGTTTAGGACTTCTGTTAAGACTTTGACAACAAGTGATGAGAGTAGCTGTCCTTGCCTTGTTCCTTATTTTAGGTGGGAGCGTTCCGTCTTCCACCAGCAGGGAGATGTTGGCTGTAGATTTTTGTAGTTGCTCTTTGTCAGACTGAGTTCGTTCCCTTCTCTTATTTATTCAAAAAAGGACTTATTGCAGTATAAGTTACATACCATAAAACTCACCCATTTAAGTGTCCAATTCAATGCTTTTTAAAGTAAATGTATTGAGTTGTGCATCTATTACCTCAATCCAGTTACAGAACATTGCCATCATACCTGTGTTATCTCTTAAGATAATACTGGAGTTGATTTGCTAATATTTTGTCAAAGATTCTTACATCTTTGTTCATCAGGGGTGATATCTTTTTTCCTTGTAATACTTTTGTCTGGTTTTAGTATTAGAGTAAGGATGGCTCATAAAATAGGTAAGAATTATTCTATCTTTTCATATTTTCTGGAAGACATTGTGTGAAATTGGTATTTCTTTCTTAAATATGTGATTAGAATTAACCAGTGAAACAATGTGGGCTGATTTTTGGAAGGTTTTTAGCTAAGCATTCATGTTTGTAATAGATATAGGACTACTCAGGAAATATATTTTTTCTTTAGTGACTTTTGGTAGTTTGTGTCTTTTAAGGAATTGGTGTATTTCTTCTAAGCTGTCAAATTTATGGGCATAGAGTTGTTCCTGGTATTTCCTTATTATTTTTAAGTGTCTGTAGAGTCTGAAGTGATTTCATCTTCTTAATTTCTGATGTTGGTAATTTGTGTCTCCTCCCTTTTTTTTTTCTGTTCAACATTCTGGCTAAAGATATGTCCACTTCACTGATCTTCCTTAAGAACTGTATCAGTTTCATCAATTTTCTCTATTCTCCTGTTTTCAGTTTTACAAATCTCTGCTCGTATGCTTATTATTTACTGTCTTGTACTTGCTCGTTTTTCTAGTTGTTTAAAGGAGGAAGTTATTGATTTGAGAAGTTTCTTCTTCTTGAATATAATTATTTAATGCTATGAATTTTCTACTAATCCTGCTTTATCTGTATCCCAGACATTTTGATATGCTGTATTTTCATTTTTACTTAGTTCAAAAGGTTTTCTGATTTTCCCTGACACTTCACTTTTGACCCATGGATTATTTGGAGGTGAGTGGTTTAATTTTCAAATACTTGGGGGATTCATCAGATATTGTTTTGTTATTGAGTTTAATTGTGATAGGATCAGAGAATACACTTTATACACCTGGCTGTCTGGTGTCACTGCTTTCTGTGGTGGTGGCACAGCTCAAGCCGACGGGCCCAGGTGGAGGGCAGAGACGCAGGGCTTCACCGATGCCGTGCTGTGAGCAGGTCAGACCACCTGCCTGATGGCTGGGTCTAGTCTCATCAGCAGCTATCAGTGTGGGAGGAAACCTACAGCCTCCACCCTCCCCATGTCTGGTGATGCTCAGGCTGAGAGGCAGAGCTGCTGATTCGCTCTGGAAAGACTGACTGTCCCCATTGGCCCAGGAGGTCCTTGGCTGCTCCCACCTCTGTATATGTGACTCTGGGCTGTGACCTCCACCATTGCCCCAGCTAAGCAGCGAGAGCTTGCTGAAGTTCAGAAGGCTGTGGAACCATGAGGGCAGCTCTCTGGATCCTGGGACTTGGGCCCCTTATTCTCAATCTCTGGGCAGTCCCGATTGGTAAGTTTCTCCTTACTTCATCCATGGAACTCTTGGGAGGCAGCGGCTCTGTTGAGGCCCAGGCCCCGGGGCATGAGTGTGTTCTCTACTGGTGAATGTTTTATGACCCGCCGTCTGCCTGGGTCTCACTCAGCCCAGAGTGGGTGGGACATGCTGGGCCAGGAAGGAGGTGGCTCCACATGGCTGGATCCTTGTGAGCTCAGGGCCCCAGCTGCTAGCCCACTGCTCGGAACCCAGGGTGCAGGGCTGGTTCACACCCTGGACAGGCCCAATGTCTGGTCCCAATGACCCTGATCAAGAGTCCTGATGGGTCCTGTGGGGGCTGCTCCATCCATGTCCCCTGCAGCAGGGCTGGGATCCCGGGAAGGATGTGAGAGGGCTGGCTGCATCTGGCAGTGAGGTTGGGCATGGGGTCCCATGGAGATACAGCACCCAGTTGGGGACACTGCGGTCTGGGGCCATGTGGAAGGGCTGCTGGGTCAGGAGCAGGCAGCTGTAGAGACAGGGTCTAGCCAGAAGGAACAGCAGGAGAGGATGGAGGTGAGAGGGAGCCCTGGGGACCTGCACACATGGGCACGGGGCCATGACAGGGTAGGCGTGTGAGTGAAGGGCTGGGTGGGAGGCAGGGGAGGGTGCCCTTGAGGCCCACGAACACTTCACTGGCAGGGTGGGCCCAGGCAGCAGTGTGGTCACAGCTGGGAGCCCTGGGGTTGAAGGGATTTGCTTTTGTGTTAATGATCACAAGCACAAGGGCCAGAATTCTCTATAACAAGAAATAGCTTTAGAAAATATAAAATGAAAAGCTATTCACAGCCAGGCAGGATGGCTCATGCCTGTAATCCCAGCACTTTGGGAGGCCAAGGCGAGTGGATCACATCACCTGAGGTCAGGAGTTCAAGACCAGCCCGGCCAAGATGGTGAAACCCAGTCTCTATTAAAAACACAAAAATTAGCCAGGCATGGTGGTGGGTGCCTATAATCCCAGCTACATGGGAGGCTGAGGCAGGAGAATCACTTTGAACCCTGGAGGTGGAGGTTGCAGTGAGCTGAGATCGTGCCATTGCACTCCAGCCTGGGTGACAGAGTAAGACTCTGTCTTAAAAAAAAAAAAAGATGGCAGACACCAGTACACATCCATGTCCTGAGAAGACACAGGTGGGGAGGGAGGTGAGGAGGATGGGGTGTGCAGGGACAGATGAAGACTGAGGCAGGGGATTTAAGCCTCCCCGGGAGGTGGGAGGGAAAGGTCTTCGTCTTGGACCAGGCGGGGTCCCCTCGCCACCGACTGCCATTTGGGAGGCTCTCTCCTGGGTGTGGAGGGTCCTCCAGGGGCCTGGAGGCTGCTCTGGGGCCAAACAGCCCCACCCCCATGGACTTCCTCCTAGTGGTTGCTTCATTTCCCTCAGGTGAGAGTGACGCAGGAGGGAAGGAAAGGGGCTATGTTGATGTAGGGGTGCAGAGGCCTGGAGAGGGCAGTTAGAGGTATGTCCCTGGAGAGTGGGAGAGACGGTGCTGGGGCAGCTGAGATGCTCTGAGGCCGTGGGGGGTGAGCTCCTGGCTGGAAGCCGGTATGGGTCGGTAGGGGGGCTGGGTTTGGTTGTAGTGGGAGGCAGGCATGGGAGGTTTTCCTGGGTGCTCCGGGTTGCAGAGGACAGGAGGGAGGGGTGAGCAGCCCTGGACAAGGGGTGTGGACAGCCACATGGGTGGGGCAGGGGTGACAGGGGTGGGCTGGGGACCACAGGGCCTCCAGTGGAAGTGGGGGAATGATGCTTGGGAGGCAGAGGGCGGGTGGGAGCTGCGGACCCAGGAGGACAGGGGACTTCCATGCCTGGGGGTGGGGTCCTCCAGGATGTTGGGGCTCCAGAGGGCCGGGGAGGGGAGCAGCCCCAGGGAAGACACGTGGGGTGAGGGTTTCTGTGTGAGCCGCACCCATCGCCTCTCTGGGACTGCTTGGTGGGTGAGAGGAACCCGACTTGCTGCTGAGGCCTTGCAGGCCATTCACTGCTGCCCCCAGGGCTGCTGTGCTGCCACCCTCCTCCTGAGCCCCTGGTTGGTTCTGGCCCCTCTAACTGGACCTGTCTGTCTGAAGGTGGACCAGGTGCTCTCAGGCTGGCGTTCAGACCCAGCACATGCGACGGAGTGGTGCTGGTCCGACACCACGGGACGTGGGGACACGTGTGCAACCAGGATTGGACGCTGGCTGAGGCCTCTGTGGTGTGCAGGCAGCTGGGCTGCGGCCCTGCCGTGGGTGCCCCCAAGTACGTCCCACTGCCTGGAGAGATGGCCTCGCCCTGGCTCCACAACGTGTCCTGCCAGGGCAATGAGCCCTCTCTCTGGGAGTGCAGCCTTGGCGCGTGGAGCCAGAGCCCGTGCCCCCACGCATGGGTGGCGGTTGCTCTGTGCTCCAGTAAGTAGGGTGGAATGAAGTGGTGGGGCTGGGGGAGGAGGAGGAGGAGGACAGGGAGGGTCTTGGAGGGAGGTGGGGGCGGGGGGTCTGGAGCTCTCTCTGGCAGGGACTCCTTGCTGGGCACTGGAACCATCCTGACAGTAAAATTCAGCTCTGGAAGAACCACTGCCAGGGAGATTCAGAGAGTAAGGAAGCAGAGGGCAGCCTGGGCTTGGAGAGGTAGTGGCCGAGGTGAGGGCGGTGTCTACGGATGCCCGAGGCCCACACAGGCAGCTGGTAGTGATTTCTTACACAGTGACAGAAAGGTACACACTTTCCCGTCCAGGTCTGGCTAGAGGGTCCTCAGCTGTCCCTGGGCACTTTATGTGGCTATGAGAACCCCCTCATAGCGTCCTGTCTCTGAAGCTGAGCCACCTGGCCAGGACCTCCTACTATTTTGGGGCCTAGTATGAAGGGACCCTGCAGGGACCCTAGTTTCAGGAGACCCACAGCAGAGCATGAAGCTGGGCACAGGGGCCTCTCTGAGCTCGCGCCCTGTGTGACGGCCTGGTCACCTGCCCCTGAAGCCGGCCCTGACTCAGCCCAGCACCGTCCTCCCTGAAAAAGGAGCTGCCTGGTCTCAGGCCTGGGGTGGACTGCCATGGCCAAATGGAAATGTCTGGAGTCACTCAGGCAGGCCCCAGGCTCCAAGCGAGCACGTGGCCAGCTGGGTCCACACCTGACAGCAGGCGGCCTGTGCTCCGCAGACGGCACTTTTCGGGAGCTTCGGCTGGTGCAGGGCCAGAGTCCCTGTGCAGGACTCCCTGAGATCAGAAACGTGAATGGGGTGGACCGCCTCTGTGGCCTGCATGTGGAGGAGGCCATGGTGTTCTGCCGGGAGCTGGGGTGTGGCCCTGTGCTCCAGGCCCCCCGCCGGGATGTGGGCGTGGTCAGAAAGTACCTGGCCTGCAAGGGTACCGAGCCCACCATCCGCAGCTGCAGACTGGACAACAATCTCCGCGGCGGCTGTGACCCGCAGCTGGACGCACAGGTGATCTGCTCAGGTGAGGCCGCCGCCCGACACTTCCAGCGACCCCTGGGTGATGCTGGGCCTGGACGGGCTGGGGCTGGACTTGGAGAGAGCAGGGGGAGGTGGGGTGGGTGTTCCCACAGATGGGCCCCCGTTCTGCCTGAGACATTGGGTGTTGACGGGGTGCATCTGCACGCTGGAGGGAAAGGGCCTCAGCTCTCGTGGCGGGTTCTCAGGAGAGCGGAGCTGAGTTTCTGGTGGCCCCACAGAGGAGTCCTGGCTCAGAACCCGCAGGCCTTCTGGGGGTCCTGGCTGCTGGGGCAAGTGTGAGCTGTTTCAGCTGTGATCACTGCATGTCTAACATGGATCTGGGGTGGGTAGAAGTCACTTCCTCCCAGCCCTGCCTCCGGTGTGTGTAAGCCTCCCTGGCCTCACAGCTCCTGGCCTTGTGAGTATGAGGGGCAGCTGAAATGAGGTGGACAGTCACCTGCTGCAGTGCCCCAGAGAGGGTGGTGCTCAGTGAACCAAGGGGTGCCTTGACCTGGCCTCTGGGATTGCAGAAGGTATGGATGTCATGGCCAGGACACAGAGGCTGTGAAACACGTGGGCATCTGCAGAAGGTGACCCTGACCCTGACCTTGGTGATGCGGCTGAGGGTGCCTCTCTGCTCTGGGTGCAGGATGGAAGGGCCTCTGGCTACAAGTTCCTCCCTGTGCTAGGCAGACCCTCTGCCTAGATGCAGACGGTTGTTCCTGGTGGAACCCTTCCACAGACTGAGGCTGGGGGCCAAGCTGTCACCCGAGGACACGTGTCTTCTGCCTGAGAGAATGTCTGCCCCCAGGACACACCGAAGCCCGGCTGGTGGGCGGCGAGCACCCCTGCGCTGGGCGCCTGGAGGTGCGGCGGGGCCTGACCTGGGGCACCGTCTGCGACGTGGACCTGGACCTGGCCATGGCCCATGTGGTGTGCCGAGAGCTGCAGTGTGGGATGGCCGTGTCCACACCTGGGGGCGCCTGCTTCGGCCGAGGATCCGAGCTGGTGTGGACAGAGGCCTTCCGCTGTGCAGGCAATGAATCGCTGCTGTTCCACTGCGCACGGGGGAACGGGAGTCAGTGTGGGCCTGGCCACGAAGCGGGGCTCAGGTGCTCAGGTGAGGTCCTGTGTGGGCTCTGAGGGCTCAGCCCTGCCTTATTCTCTGCCAGATCCCTTTCTGCCCTAAAGGTGCCTCTGGCCAGTAGGTGTGGGTGCTTTTGATGTTTGCTTCTGTTGGTTGAAAGCAACAGAGGGAAGAGGCTGGTGTAGGGCGAAGTGCCCAGGCAGCAGCTCAGATCAGATTCTTCTGCAGAGCTGTGTAGGCTGCATGCTGACGCAGAGGAGGGCGGGGCAGCTGGTGAGAGCGAGGCTGGGCTCTGTGCCCATCCCACTGGGTGTGAAGGAAGGAAATGACCACAGACAGCCATGTGCCGGGTCTGTGTCCCCAGCCACGCTGACCCCTCCTCTCCCCCAGAGTTCAGGCTGGTCAACGGCACCAGCAGCTGTGAGGGCCGCGTGGAGCTCCAGGTGCAGGGGTCCTGGGCGCCCCTCTGTGCCACCCACTGGGACATAGCAGACGCCACCGTCCTCTGCCACCAGCTCAACTGTGGCAACGCGGTGGCCGCACCTCGAGGAGGCCATTTTGGGGGCGGGGACGCAGCCATCTGGCCTGACGCGTTTCACTGTGAGGGGACAGAGCCCTACTTGTGGAATTGCCCAGTAAGCACCCTGGGGGCCCCGGCCTGTGCCCCGGGAAACTCGGCCTCCGCAGTGTGCTCAGGTGGGTGCAGCCAGGATGATGGAGGAGGAGGAGGGTGAGTGAGAGCCATGGACAGAGGGTGCAAGGAAGGACAGAGGGGCTGAGAGGGACCTGCCTGCCTGGGGGGGTGGTCCTGGGTCCCTCCCCCCTGACACCCTGGGGCCCCGTGCGTCCCCATCCCCAGGTTTCCCCCATGCGCTGCGGCTGCGGGAAGGACAGAGCCGCTGTGACGGCCGCGTGGAGGTCTCCCTGGACGGCGTGTGGGGCCGCGTCCTGGACGACGCCTGGGACCTGCGCGGCGCGGGCGTGGTGTGCCGGCAGCTGGGGTGCGGAGGGGCCCAGCGAGCCTACGACGCGCCCGCCCCCAGCCGCGGGTCCATCCAGGTGGCGCTGAGCCGCGCGCGCTGTCTGGGCACCGAGACCCGCCTGACCCGGTGCAACGTGTCCGCGACGCTGCGGGAGCCCGCGGGGACCTCGAGGGACGCCGGCGTGGTGTGCTCGGGTGAGGGCGGAACCGCGTCCCGCGTGGGCAGTGGCCACGCAGCGCGGGGCGCCCTGACTCTCTGTCTCTCCGCAGGGAGCCTCGGGGTGCGGCTGGCCGCGGGGCCGGGGCGCTGTGCGGGGCGCGTGGAGGTGCTGCGCGGGGGCGCGTGGGGCACCGTGTGTGACGACGCCTGGGACCTGTGGGACGCGCACGTGGTCTGCAGGCAGCTGGGCTGCGGCCGCGCCCTGAGCGCCCCGGGGGCTGCGCACTTCGGAGCCGGGGCCGGGCGCATCTGGCTGGACGAGCTGCGCTGCCAGGGCCACGAGTCTGCGCTGTGGCAGTGCCCGTCGGCGGGCTGGGGCCGGCACGACTGCAGGCACAAGGAGGACGCCGGCGTCTTCTGCTCAGGTGCGCTGCCGGGCGTCAGATCGTGCTGCTTTATCCACGTGCACTTGCGCTCCGGAATTCCGTTAAAATACCAGGAGCTGTTCTCTTCCTTGAATGTATTGGGCGGGGTTCCTCTTGCTGGCAAAGGACAGGACAGCGCTTTGGGTCCTGTGCCTGCGGGCTGCTCAGCGCCCTGCTGCAGGTTGGCCCTGGAAGAGCCCCAGCTGGGCTCATTTTCTGCTGTTGCCAGCGCAAGTGTGCTTGGTCTCTATCCGGAGTTCATGTGTATATATTTGTTTTGAGACGGTCTCACTGTTTCCCAGGCTGGGGTGCAGTGGCACCACCACAGTTCACTGCAGCCTTGACCTACTGTACTCCAGGGATCCTTCAGCCTCAGCCTCCCCAGCAGCTGCGACCACAGGAAGGAGGCACTGCCACTGGCTTCAGATTCTTTTTTTTTTTTTTTTTCTTTGAGACGGAGTTTCACTCTTGTTACCCAGGCTGGAGTGCAATGGCGCGATCTCGGCTCACCGCAACCTCCGCCTCCTGGGTTCCAGCAATTCTCCTGCCTCAGCCTCCTGAGTAGCTGGGATTACAGGCACGCGCCACCATGCCCAGCTGAATTTTTGTATTTTTAGTAGAGACGGGGTTTCACCATGTTGACCAGGATGGTCTCGATCTCTTGACCTCGTGATCCACCCGCCTCAGCCTCCCAAAGTGCTGGGATTACAGGCTTGAGCCACCGCGCCCGGCTTGGCTTCAGATTCTTAATTTTGATCCGTACTTGGTGATATTTGGCGTACTGGAGACCTTTTTGCAGACTGAGCAAGGGTGTGTTCTCTGGAGAAGCCTGTGAGTGGGTGAGGGGCTCCCCACCCGATCTGCAGTCTCTCCACAGCGTTTCCAGGTGACGCCAGGGAGAGGCTGGATGCCTGCTGAGGCTCTGGCAGCTCATCCAAATGTGGGCTCTTCTCATTGGGTTTGGTTTATATTTTTCCTTAGGAACATTTTCTTCAGCGATTTCTTGGATTATGACGTTTATTTCCATTACCGTGTTCTTTGTATGCAATGCTTGAGTCTTGTGAGGCTGAGTCTTCCCTATGCTTCTAAAATTAATTTTTGGCATGACTCTTTGCCCACCCATTCTTGGGGCGTTTCTGCAGGTGGCACCCACGTCACGGTCTGGTTTCTGTCGGTTCTGCTCTCCAGTCTTCTGTGTGTTTCGCCTCGTCCGTAGGTCAGAGGAGCCTCCTCGCCTCCTCCGTCGCCCATTTGCCTCATCTTAGTGTCTTTTTTCACAGAAGCTTGTTTTCTTCTAATGACGCCCCACTCTGCTCTCATAAAAGGCCCGTCTTTGGCATCTCAGTGAGAATGACAGGTCCTTTTCTAGAACATTCTGCTAGTTCCTGTGGAAAGTGGCTGTTTTAGCCTTTCCTCTGTGTCTCCCAGGTGGCGCTTGCTGTCTAGGTTGCAGCATTTTCCTCTGGTGGCTGCTTTATCTGTTTATCTGTCTGTGAACCTTCGCCCTGGGGACCCCACCTGAGACAGCGTCTGCAGGCATCTGCCGTCAGACCGTCTGCTGGAGCCGGCGTGTTGGGCACGGCCAGTTCAATTCCTGGGGCTGCCTCTTTTTCACCTCAGCTATGCCTTGGTCACTTCTGGCCCCTCCAGGCTCCTCAGGTCCCTGCCTGACAGGGCTGCATCCCCGGGGAGGGGCAGGGCGCTGGTGGCTCCTGCTCTCCTCTTCGTAGGCACATGGACAGGCAGGCAGTGGAGGCCTGCTCAGCTCTGGGCCTCACACATGGCCTGCGTTTTGTGCCTGTGCTGATGCTTTGCCCAAGGTCCCATCCATATGTCCAGGGTGCAAACTTGCATTGTTTTGGGAAAGCAGATAAGACTGTATCTGGGGGCGGGAGCCATTTTATTTTATTTTATTTTATTTTATTTTATTATTTTTCTAGTCTCAGATGAGATACAGAGCCATTTTAAAGAAGAATTAGAACAGTAACTTCTAGATGTAGGTAGAGGAGTTCTCTTGATAGACTTTACAAAAATACTATGTTGATAATATCTTCGAAAGAGTGAGATATAAAGTATGTTACATGGCATTAAAATGTGAGTCCAAAAAATTTGAACAACAAAAAAAATCTAATCCCAACATCCAGACAGTGTCTAATGTATGTGATCTGCTGTAGAAATTAATGCTGAGTAACCAGCCCCACCACAGACAGCATGATGTGTATGGCTCCAATTTCTGTGGTCACTGCCTTTGGCTGTGCTCAGCCTGGTGGTTCTCTGTCCCAGCTGGGCTTCCTCAGAGCCTTTGGGCAGTCACTTGATGGTTAGATGGAGCCCTGCTTCTGGGCCCTGGCTGTAGGCAGGAGTGGTGAAGGCTCTGTTTCTGTCATGATCCAGCCTTGGTTCCAAAAGTGACAGCAGAGTCAGCCTAGGAGCAGGCACAGAGTCTCAGAGCCTGTTCTGCTGGCCCAAGTCCCAAGCCAGCTGGGATTCAAGGGCTGGGGCACAGACTCAGTGAGAGGGTGTGGGAGCAGGCAGGGGATACTTTCAGACACTTTTTATTCTATTACGACGTGTTTCTTTCCGGTACTTTTTCTAAGCTTATGAGGGTGTGGGAGCAGGCAGGGGATGCTCGTGGACACTTTTTATTCAATTACGATGTGTTTCTTTCCGGTACTTGTTCTAAGCTTATTTAATTAGATATGATCCTTTCAGTTGCAATTTATACCTAATGTTCTCCAATTACCCTGGACAGGTGTTTAAAATGTTATCACAGTGCTTCACGGCACAGCTTTAAAGGATCATTGAACCTGCCGTCAGGCCACCGTATCAGTCTGTTGGACTTTACATTGCTCCAAGGGTAACACTGAACATATTTGGGCACTGGTCAGGCAGGACCAATGCTATCTCTGAACACGGGGCTGAGGCACACACATACAGTTGAATAATTACTACGGTCAAGCCAGTGAACATCCCACCATCTCACATAGTTACATTTGGCTTTGTAGTAAGATCACCTAAAGTCTACTTTCCTAGCAAATTTCCAGTGTACAGTGCAATACTAGCTGCATTCCTCCTGCTGCATTTGGGGTTCCAGATTTCTTCATCCTGCGTAACTGTGGACCCTTTGGCCTACCTCCCCCCATCACCCCCCACCTGCCACTGATAACCACATTCTATTGTTTTGATGCATTTGACCTCTTTTCTGCTCTCATCTGTAAGTGGGATTATGCAGAATTTGTCTTTTCATTCCTGGTTTATTTCACTTCACATAATGTCCTCCAGGTTCACCCATGCTGTCACGAATCACAGAATCCCCTTGTTGTTGAGACTGAACAGCATTCCATAGCATAGATGTACCATATTTCTCTTTTATTTTTTAAATTGACAATCTTTGTATGTCTGTACGGGATCCATAGTGGTGTTTCAATCCATATAATGTGTATGGTCAGGTTCGGGTAATTAGTAAAGCCATCATCTCAGACATGGGTCACTTCGTGGTGTTGAGAACATTCCACGTTCTTCCTCCAGAGATCTGAAACCTTATAATGTACTGTTAGTGACAGTCATCCTGCAGTGCTATAGAATGCTAGAATTTATTCTTCTTATCCAGCTGTAATTTTGTGTCTTTACAAATCTCCTCTTATTCCTCCCTCCCCCAGCCCTTCCCAACCTCCAGTACCCTCTGTTCTGCTTTTTATTTCTAGGAGATCAACCTCTTTTAAGCTTCCACTAATGAATGAGAACATGTGGCATTTAACTTGCTGTTCCCAGCTTATTTTCCTTAACACAGTGTCCTCCAGTTCCATCCATATTGCTGCAAATGACAGGATTTTATCGCTTTTTAAGGCTGAGTAGCTCCAGTGTGTATACGCCATGTTTTCACTATCCATGTATCTGTTGTTGGACATCTACGCTGATTCCACATCTTGGTGTTGTCAGTTGTGCTGCAGTGAACCTGGGCATGCAGACGTCTCTGCTCTGCTGATTTCATTTCCTCTGGGTCTCTACCCAGCAGTGAGATTGCTGGATTGTGCAGTAGCTCTAGTTGAAATTTTCTCAAGAGGCTCCATACTGTTTCCATAACTGATCTCAGCGCTGGGACCCCCTGAGTTTAGCACCCTCCTTCTGAGGCTGCCCACAGTGCCAGGCAGGGCACTCCCTGGCCTGACTGTGCTTGCTTTGCAGAATCAGTGGCTCTGAGGCTTCGAGGTGGGACCTGCTGCTGTGCTGGGTGGCTGGACGTACTCTACAATGGGACCTGGGGTGCCGTGTGCAGCAACGCGCTGAAGGACCTCTCCTTGTCCATCATCTGCAAGCAGCTGGGGTGTGGGGAGTGGGGCTGGCTGGAGAATAAGCCCTTCCCCTCCGCTGGTGCCAGCATGGGCACTGCCTGGGTGGACAATATCGAGTGCCGCAGGCTACCCAACTCCACTCTGTGGCACTGCCCTTCCCGCCCGTGGCACCCACGTTCCTGTGACCTTCGAGAGCAGGCCTGGATTACCTGTGCAGGTGGGCATTAAAGGCCTCTGGGGGGGTGCCTTTAAGAGGTTTATCTTTCTGACAAGTCACTGGCAGGGGATGCCATTGAATCAGAACTTGGGCCTGGGGTGGGGGCGGGTCACAGAATGAAGGATCCACAGCCTTTGTTCTGAAGCTTCTCCGGGCGCTGATGCTCTCAGAGCTGCTGTTTAACCTGCAGGGTTGTCAGAGGATGGGCCACAGGCTGCTGGGGAGGCCCTCAGCTGCTCCTCCTCGCTCAGCTGCCCAGGTACCCGTCTGTCCTTGTCCCTGTCCTCCTTCCCACCCCGTCCAGCCCCCTGAGTGACGGCAGCCCCTTTTCCAGAGGAGGGCTCAGTGCGTTTGCGCGGGGGCCAGGCCCGCTGCTCCGGGCGCGTGGAGCTCTGGCACGCGGGCTCCTGGGGCACCGTGTGCGACGACGCCTGGGACCTGGCGGACGCGGAGGTGGTGTGCCGCCAGCTGGGCTGTGGTCCCGCCGTCGCCGCCCTGGCGGCCGCCGCCTTTGGCCCTGGCTCCGGGCCGGTGTGGCTGGACGAGGTGGGGTGCCGGGGCAGCGAGGGGTCCCTGCGGGGCTGCTCTGCGGAGCGGTGGGGACGCGGAGACTGCGCGCACAAGGAGGATGCGGGCGTGCGCTGCTTGGGTGAGCGGGGGTGGGGACCGCTGGGCAGAGGGCGCTGGGCAGTCCTGTGGTGGTCTGTCCCCTTTCCCCTCAAGCGGATCCCCAGCACCCAGCCCTGAGGCTGCCCCAGGCATGGTCCCTCACGGCTGCTCCTGGCTAGGCTGCTTGGGACCAGACCTGTCAGCTCAGGCTGAGTGGGCTGGGGGGTCTGCGGGGGTCTGCGCAGCTCAGGGCTGTAGCTGCCTCCCCATCCGGGCCCTCACGTGCCACCGTTTACTGCAGGTGACTCGGGGACCACAGTGCCGCCGTCACACCTGGGTAGGTGGTTTTCTCAAGCTCAAGTCCTGCTGTGTGTCTGAGCCCCGCTGGGGACTGCCCTGGGGCTCAGGGCTGACCATGCTGACAGGGCACCCATGATGGAAAGTTCTCTCCTTCCCTGTGCCCACCTGAGTGAATATATGGGGACCTGGGGGTGTTGGGGACAGAGGCCCCAGGCCCCTCACAGCCACTTCTCTGGGGTCTTTGCCTTGGCAGCTAGGGGGCTTGGCCCTGGAAAGCTATGGCCCCTTGGACATTAGGTCTGCATCCAAGGCAGAGTTGAGGGCAGTGGGCAGTCAGGACAATAAGCACATTCCACAGGCCTAACCCCTCCCCGGATCATCACTCTGCTGCTCCTATCTGGGCCCACATACCTGGATTCTCCCACCTGCATTTTCCCGCCTGAGCCCTACACCTGTGCCTTCCACCTCCGCCTCACCACCTGTGCCCTCCCAGCTGTACCCACGGTCTGGGCCTACACAGCTGCATTTGTCCCCCTGTGTTCTCTCACCTGGGCCTTCCTTGCTTGCACCCAGTCTGAGCCTGTCAGCCTGGGTTCTTCCACCTGCACCCACGACCAGGGCCCACACACCTGGATTCTCCCGCCTGGGCCTCTCGTGCCATGACCTCAACCTGCCTCTCCAAGGAAGGAGCACCTGTTCAGGCAGCACAGAGGCCCACCTCTCTTGGGGTGCCGCCATCCCTGTGAGGCTAAGGTCCTCCCAGGCCAGGGTCACAATGGCCCAGGCAGCCCAGGTGCGCAGCAGGCCCCGCCTCTCACTGTGCCCCACAGCCCCTTCCTTGGTCCCTCCACCTGCCCACATGGCCTGGGCCCTGCCTGAGTTCACCTGTCTGGTACTTGGCTCCCTCCTGGGCATCATCTCTCTGTTCCTGGGGATGAAGTGGTGCCACCGCAGAGCAGCCTGCAGGGGTAGGTGGGCATGCCCAGGCATGGCGAGCAGGGCCCTGAGGTGGGGAGGCTGGGGGGCATGCTCTGTGGGACCCGGTCACTGCAGGTCACTGCCCTGCATGCTGAGTGGCCTTCCCCATGGTGACTGCTCAGTGACTCTCTGTGGACCCATGAGGTGTTGGGGGCTCAGGGACCCTATGTCTGAGTCTTGCTTTGCCCCCAAGATGTGCTGGATCAAGAAAATCCACACTCCCAGGACTGCCTGGAGTGAGAACGGGCTCCAGGGTTCTGCTGACCCTCTGTGACTTGTGCGCAATGGAGGTCCTTCCTGGGTGTGTTCAGAGGCTGAGACCACTGGCCCCACCCTAGGACACAAGCCCTGGGTGCCCAGAGTAGCAAGTGGCCCCTGTGGGGGTCTTTGCTCTCTGTGGGGGCTGCTGACAGAGGTGCCGGGGTGCTGGCATGCATGGAAGACCACAGGGGCCAGGCATGCTGGACTTAGACTGCAGGAGTATTTCTTCTAAAACATTCTGCTGTGGCCTTTGCAGGTTGTGGCATGTCAGGGCACCTGTCCTCAGAGGGTATCTATGAGGACATCGGAGCCTTCCCCATGGGGCAGAAAGACGAGGAACCTGCAGCGTCTGGGGACCTGGGCCTGGAGGAGAACTATGACGATGCCGGAGAGCCTGAGGATGGCGCTGAGGAGGAGACAGAGGAGGCCGGGGTGCTGCTGAGCCCTGCAGGTGTGCACCTCTGCGCCCTGGCGTCCATGGTGGTCTGCCTCCTGTACTGCTCCTATGCAGAGGGCTCTGCTCTGGCCAGCGCCTACATTTAAAGAAACTGAGCTGCTTCTCGTGAGTCCGTGACCCTCTCTTCTGTCTCAGGCTGGGGCATTAGGACTTCTGGCTGTCATCTGCGTGTTAGGCTGCATCTCCCAGTGGGTAGATGTGGACTTAGGGAGGTCATAGGTCTATATTTGGGTTACTTTTGCAGCTGTGCAGTATCTTTCCGGCATCTTGTCCCAGTTGGCTACAGGAGGGACCCTGGGCAGCCTGGGTCGCTGTGAGAAGCCATACCGCTCTCTCCCGACCCACCACACCCCATCCTTGTCCCTTGGTGACTTTGCTTCCCAGCAGCAGATGAGAACTCCTGAGCCTGTGAGAAATCGCTCAGAACCCCAGTGAGCCCTGTGTCTGTCTCCTTAAACACAGGTGGGGCTCCTTTCAGCCTGGGTCCCAAAGCTGAGGCTGGGATGGAAGACGGTGGTGGCCTCTGCCCCAGGACATGACCTGAAGCTGATGGTGGGGATGTCAGAGTGTTGAGTGACTGGATAAACCGGGGGAGCTGGGGTCTTCACTGCCCTCACTCTCAACAGATGTTATTAAACTCCCTTTGAGCTCACTTGTCCATCGTTAATTCAGTTCAGAAACGTTGAACAGACACCGCCATGGCCCAGGCTCTGTTGGTCCTTTGTCTTCTCATCTGAGGGCGATTTTGTGTGTTTTCAATCCAACATTGTTTTCACTGCTTTACTGAGCTGGGGTGTGGGCTGCTCCTCCTGGAACTCAGGCAGGAGGGTCAGGGGTCTCCCAGTCAGGCAGCCTCTTGGACCATTTCTTTCTTCTGCTCCCATCTCACCTCCAGGGTTGGGGGCCTAAGCTTCAGGGTGGTTCCCTGATGACCCGCCCCTGGGAGCCCCGCCTTTCATCTACACACACAGTGCTGCAAGGGATGGTGAGCGCTCAGCTGGGGGCTTGGAGCCAGAATCTCCATTTCTTACAGCTGCATTGCTCTGATAGGCCCCCAAGCTCTCCCTGACCATCCCCACTGCTGACCACACACTCCCAGGACCTGACCTGCCAAAGATCCCACCCACCCAGGACCCCACCACCGAGGACCCCCCCCACCCAGGAACCCCCACCCTGGACCCCCTCACTCAACACACCCCACCCAGGAACCCCCACTCAGGACCTCCCCATGCAGGATCCCCCCACTCAGGAACCCCCCACCCAGGAA